AACAAGCTGAAGATCAATCCCGACAAGACAGAGGTCCTCCTGGTCGATCGTAAACCGGATCGGGGTATAGGGTGGCAACCTGTGTTGGACGGGGTTACACTCCCCCTGAAGCCACAGGTCCGCAGTTTGGGTGTCCTCTTGGATTCTTCGCTTACACTTGAGGCTCAGGTGTCGGCGGTATCCGGGAGGGCCTTTGCACAACTGAGACTTGTGCGCCAGCTGCGACCGTACCTCGTGAAGGCAGATCTGGCCGGGGTGGTCCACGCCTTGGTCACCTCTAGAATGGATTACTGCAATGCGCTCTACGTGGGGCTGCCCTTGAAGACGGCTCGGAAACTTCAATTGGTCCAGCGGGCAGCAGCCAGGATGCTAACTGGGGCTCATTATCAAGAGAGGTCTACCCCTCTGTTTAAGGAGCTCCACTGGCTGCCATTTATTTTCCGAGCCCAATTCAAGGTGCAGGTGCTCACCTACAAAGCCCTGAACGGTTTGGGACCACCCTACCTGCGTGACCGCATCTCCATCTACGAACCCACACGCTCGCTCCGGTCATCTGGGGAGGCCCTGCTCGTGATCCCACCTGCGTCGCAAGTGCGCTTGGTGGGGACGCGGGACAGGGCCTTCTCTGTGGCGGCCCCCCGACTTTGGAATGCCCTTCCAAAAGAGCTCCGTCAGGCCCCTACTCTAGCAGTTTTCAAAAGGAACCTAAAAACTTGGCTGTTCCGATGTGCCTTCGCAGATTAGGAATCCCCATCCTAAGTCCTAGATGCACCTTGGCACAACTAATGTGGCTGCACACCGCACTTTAATCCTACGTTCCTCCTGCCATCTCAGCACTTTTAACCCTGTACCCCATTGCGCTGGCCGAACCAGTTTTAATAGTGTCTTGATGTATTGTCATTGTGGTTACTTTGCTTAATTGTTTTGATTTGCTTTGTTTATTGTTGTGTTATGTTTTATTGTATTGTGTTTTGAGGCTTCGGCCCGTGTAAGCCGCATCGAGTCCTTCGGGAGATGCTAGCGGGGTACAAATAAAGTTAATAATAATATAATAAGAAGAAGAAGCTGGAATATTGCATTCAAAGCACCCCTGGCAGATGGCCATCCAGCCTCTGCTTAAAAGCTTCCAAAGAAGGAGCCTCCACCACACTCCCTCCGGGGCAGAGAGTATCAAAAGAATCCAAAATGGATGTCTAAAGAACTTTCAACTGAGCTAAGATGTGAAAGAGACGTGCACCAGAAAGAGGAGAAGGAGACCTCACCCAAATGGCTGGCGAAGGGGCTTCTCCAGGTCAGAGGCTGAAGGCGCATTTTGTGTTGCTGGATCCACACTGCCTTCTAATTCAGAATTCACACTCACTGCATCGAGGGCATGGGTTCCCTGGAAGCGTAGACTGCAAAGGTTGGTTCACAAAGACACAACACGGATAAATAGCAGTCAACACACAAACAACTTTATTGAAATTTAGTAACGACTGAAAGGAGACCACCTCAAGAAGGTCACCTGAAGAGTCCCTTTCGTAGGCACAGCAGGTGTTAAGGGCTCTGGTTCCACAAGGCTTCTCTTCTTGCACACACAGGCCTGGCGGGAGTCTCCTTCCTTCTCTGGAGGGTTCTGAACAGAAGCCACCTGGCCATCTGTCAGGAGGGTTTGGGTGGTGGATTCTGGCCTGGAAGAAGGAGGTCACCAGGATGGCCCTTGTGGTCCCACTCTAGAGTTCTAGGCAAGACTCCTTGGGGAGATAGCGTGGAATAGACATAAAGGTTTATTGATTATTTACTAGCTTGGGTACCCCACGGCATTGTTTATTTTGGGGTGTTAGGGGTTTTTTGGGGGGGTTTTTGTGTCAGAAACTGCAAGTCGCTTCTGGTGTGAGAGAATTGGCCGTCTGCAAAGATGTTGCCCAGGGGACGCCCGGATGTTTTGATGTTTTATCATCCTTTTGGGAGGCTTCTCTCATGTCCCCGCATGAGGAGCTGGAGCTGACAGAGGGAGCTCATCCGTGCTCTCCCTGGATTCAAATCTGTGACCTGTTGGTCTTCAGTCCTGCCGGCACAGCGGTTTAACCAACTGCGCCATCGGGGGCTCCAGGGTGTTAGGTAATATCATTTAGTTAATTATCATTTAGTTAATTAGTTAATTAGTCATAGTTGACCTAAATCCAGAGAGCACTGTGAACCCAACCAGCTAATTAACTAACTAAATGGGGTGTTAGGTAATATCATTTAGTTAATTAGCTGATTGGGTTCCCAGTGCTCTCTGGATGTAGGTCAACGACAACTCCTCTAAATCATGGTGAATTCCTCCCAAACCTCTTGCTCAGTCGCTGATCAATTTCTGTTTGCGGTGTGCCATAGGAAAGGGTTAAGGGATAGGAAGAGGGTGGGGTCATGCAAATTCCACAGCAATGGAAAGAGTAAGGAACCCTGGGATGTCCATTCTGGAGGACAAACAGAACATCTAGGATGAAATGCCCCCCGGATGAAAGCATTCCTTGGCTGGTGGGCAGGGTGGTGCTTGTGGAGGACATGGGCAGGGCTCGGGTGACATGTTCACGGCGCCCACTATAACCTGCAATGTCCTTGGAGGGAGGGAGGGCTTTGGGGGCTCTTCAGCACCGTTTGTGGAGGTGGGAGGCTGTCTGTGTTCGTGGACACCTCTGCCACATATACATTTTCACTTGTATTATGTGTATAGAATTAGATGTATAGATCAGTGTTTCTCAACCTGGGGGTCAACAAAGGTTATCAGAAAACTCAACCTTTTCTAATCGCCTCTCAACAAAAGTTTGCTCCAGGCACTGCCAGGCCATCAAATGCTAATCAAGGTGGTCAGTTGAAACATTCACACCTAGCTCCAGCAGACAGGAGTCCTTTGTCCCACCCTGGTCATTTCCACAGATATATAAAGACATTTTCCTAGTTCCAACAAGACCTCACTACCTCTGAGGATGCTTGCCATAGATGCAGGCGAAACGTCAGGAGAGAATGCCTCTAGAACATGGCTCTATAGCCTGAAAAAACCTACAACAGCCTCAGCCTTTTCTGTTGGTCATGGGGGTTTTATGTGGGAAGTTTGGCCCAATTCTGTCACTGGTGGGGTTCAGAATGCTCTTTGATTGTAGGTGAACTATACATCCCAGTAACTACAACTCACAAGTATCAATGTCTATCTTCCCCAAACTCCACCCGTATCCACATTTGGGCATATTAAGTATCCGTGCCAAGTTTGGTCCAGATCCATCATTGTTTGAGTCCACAGTGCTCTACCTGGATGTAGATAAACTACAACTCCCAAACTCAAGGCCCCACCAAACCCATCTAGCATTTTCTGTTGATCATAGGAGTTCTGCGTGCCAAGTTTGGTTCGATTCCATCATTGATGGAGTCCAGAATGATCTTTGATTGTAGAACTATAAATCCCAGCGACTCCAGCATTCTCAAATGACAAAATCAATCTTTCTCCAACCCCACCAGCATTCAAATTTGGGCATATCAGGTATTTGTACCAAATTTGGTCCAGTGAAGGAAAATACATCTTGCATATCAGATACTTACGTGACGATTCATAACAGCAGCAAAATTACAGTTGTGAAGTCGCAACAAAAATGTGATGGTTGGGGGTCACCACAACATGAGAGAACTGTATTAAGGGGTCACGACATCAGGGAGGTGGAGAACCACTGCCTTAGAGATTATTCTTGCAGACCTATGCCTTAGGACAGTGGTTCTCAACCTCCCTAATGCTGTGACCCCTTAATACAGTTCTCTCATGTTGTGGTGACCCCCAACCATCACATTTTTGTTGCGACTTCACAACTGTAATTTTGCTGCTGTTATGAATCGTCACGTAAGTATCTGATATGCAAGATGTATTTTCATTTACTGAACCAAATTCGGCACAAATGCCTGATACGTCCAAATTTGAATTCTAGTGGGGTTGAAGGGGAGATTGATGCTGTCATTTGGGAGTTGTAGTTGCTGAGATTCATAGTTCACACACAATCAAAGAGCATTCTGAACTCCCATGACCAACAGCAAATACTGGAAAACTTGTGTGCCAGCTGCGCCCGTATCTTGGGAAGTCAGATCTGGCCACGCTCTTGTTACATCCTGGTTGGATTACTGCAACGCACTCTACGTGGGGTTGCCTTTGAAGACTGCTCGGACTACCCCACTGCTGTGTCAGCTCCATTGGCTGCCGGTCCAGTTCCGAGCACAATTTAATGTGCTGGTCTTGACCTATCAAGCCCTTTACGGTTCCGGCCCAGCGTACCTGTCCGAACGTATCTCCTCTACGTCCCACCTCAGAGTTTAAGATCTTCTGGGGAGGCCCTGCTCTCGACCCCGCCTCTATCACAAGTGAGGCTGGCGGGGACGAGGAGCAGGGCCTTCTCGGTGGTGGCCCCTCACCTGTGGAACTCACTTCCCGGGGAAATTAGATCAGCAACTTCCCTTTTGTCATTCAGAAAAAAATTGAAGACCTGGATATGGGACCAAGCTTTTGGACATTCTGGCAGCTAAAGGAAAGACCCTGATGATGAGCAGGAAGTGATGGAACGGAATGGACATTCGGAACTCTGGGAACACCGAGATATAGGCATCGAATTGTGCCTTTGTTTGTAAGCCACCCTGAGTCCCCCCTCGGGGGTGAGAAGGGCGGGGTAGAAGTAACTGAAATAAATAAATAAATAAATAAATTTGATAGGCATTGACCTTGAGTTTTGGAGTTGTAGTTCACCTACATCCAGAGAGCACTGTGGACTTCAAACAATGATGGATCTGGACCAAACTTGGCACGAATACTCAACATGCCCAAATGTGAATACTGGAGGAGGTTAGAGATAATAGACCTTGACATTTGGGAGTTGTAGTTGCTGGGATGTATAGTTCACCTGCAATCAAAGAGCATTCTGAACTCCAACAATGAGAGTATTGGGCTAAACTTCTTACACAGATCCCCCATGACCAATAAAAATACTGTGTTTTCTGGTGGTCTTTGGTGACCCCTCTGATACCCCCTTGCGACCCCCCCAGGGGTCCCGACCCCCAGGTTGAGAAACACTGCTATAAGGGTTGCAGTCACGCAGTGCCCAGAGAGGCCGAACCAGAACGACACCTCCGGTCAAGGGAGACAGGTGTCATGTCTGGGATGTCAACACAGAGATAATCGCTCACGGCAAAGAGATAAAAGGCCTGACTTGACCATGTGCTTGGTCTCTCTCTTCCGCCGTGACCGTCTGGGTGTAACTGTAAATAATTTGGAACAACAATAAACAGTGCCTGGCCAGGGGCTCTTGGCTGAAATATAGTGTTCCAATGTGCTTGATTTAAGAAGTACAGGCGCAGAGAAGTGTGCATGTTGCAGATATTGCCGGTGCCTGTGACTGCAAATCCAGGGAATCCTAAGTGCCTTTTTTTTGTGGGGGGGGTACCCCTGAGAGGAGGCTCCTGCCCGGCTGGTCTCTCTCCTCTGATTTGCAGCACCGTCTCTCTTCTGGGCCTCAAGCAGAGACCGCCGCAGGGCAGGCAGTTGGGCGGGCAGGCAAGCAGGCACTCCACTTCGGGGTCACTTGGCCTGTCCATTCTGGTCAGAGTCCTCCACCACCTCCCAGGAATCAGGGCCCAGCAAGCGGTAGTTCTTGTCCCGGTAGTGTCCCATGTCTTGCGCCCGATGCTCCCGCACCACCGCCCAGATCTCCTGGATGAACGTCGGCAGCGAGGGAGACCCCGCCGCTTGGGCCAGCCCTTCCGCGTAGCTCCACTGCCGCTCCTGCAGCCAGAGAAAGTGCCTGGGCTCCCCGCCAGCCGCCAGGTAGCCGTCCAGCTCGGCCCGGGCTTCGGCCTCCATCTCGGCTGCGGAGGGGAGCGGGCAGCGCCCGGCCAGGACCGCCAAGGCAAAGACGGTCTGGCAGTGGAAGTGCGGGAAGGGGCAGATCAGCTGGCAGAGGCCCAGCAGGAAGAGGGTCGGGTGGCATGGGGGCAGCAGGTGCCGGTAGAGTGGGGCCAGCCCATGCTCCTCCTCCCGCAGGCCCAGCCGCTCCAGGGGCAGGAAGGGGAAGCACGCCCGGTAGCCTGTGCACAGCACCAGGGCCTCGGGCCGCGCCTCAGAGCCGTCCTCAAAGACCACCCTGCGCCCATCCACCCGGGTGATGGGGGGCACCTGGGCCACGTTGGGGGGCAGGCCACAAAAAGGGGCCCTTCGGTGGCTCAGGACCACACGGCCAGTCACCGTGTCTGAGAGCAGCAGGGCCAGGTCCACCCCGGAGGGTCCTCCGCCCACCAAGACCACCTCCGAGAGGCCGGCAAAGGGGTCCTTGCGGCGGAAGGAGTGGCTGTGCAGCATGAGGCCTGTGGAGGGGAGGGAAAGGGGACACTCAGCTGATGGGCTCACAAGGTCAATTGACAGGAGTAGAGCAGGCATGGGCAAATTTTGGGACCTCCAGGGCCTTCTCGGTGGTGGCCCCTCACCTATGGAACTCACTCCCCCGGGAGATCAGATCAGCGACCTCCCTTCTGTCGTTCAGAAAAAAACTGATGACCTGGATTTGGGACCAAGCTTTTGGACATTCTGGCAGCTAAAATAAGGACCCCTTGATGAGCAGGAATTGTTGGAATGAATGGACATTTCGGAACTCTGAATTTCACTGTGCATGAAATTGTTTTTATTATATTATGTAGTGATGTGTTTTAATGCTGTTAAATGTTTATACTGTTTTATATATGCTGTATATTTTGACAGGCATCGAATTTGTGCCCTGAGTCCCCCCTCGGGGGTGAGAAGGGCGGGGTATAAGTAACTGCAATAAATAAAAATAAATAAAATAAATTTTGGACTCCAACTCCCACAATTCCTAAGAGCCTACTGAAATTGTGGGAGTTGAAGTCCAAAAACCTGGAAGGCCCAAGTTTGCCCATGCCTGGGCTAGAGCTAAGGAAAAAATAGAAAATTACCAACTGAAATAAAGTTCAGACGACACAGTCTTGCACACACTATGAAGCAGAAGAGAGTGAGAGAACCCAAAGGAAGAGAAAGTTCAACAGACTTGATGACCTGCAAGCCAGGATGAGGATAGAAAGAGAGGGGCTCAAAGTGGGAAAATACCAGCCAAAACTCGGAGCTGAACAAGGGAAAAGTAACAAACAGGAAAGAGGGAAAGAGGGGGGAATGCAAGCTGCTGAGGAAGAAGGCAAAGGATGCATATGAGAGAGAACAAAGGAAGAGAAGAGTTCAGAGAAATTTGCGCAGGCTTAAAGGTTGGCTATAAGAACTAAAGTGCACCTCAACTCAACGTGGCACTCTCCACCCCGCAAGGTGACTTGGTCAATTAAACCTGTTGTAGTGATCTTCTACTCTCAGCGTTTGATTGAATGAAAACTCTGAAGGTTTTTGGGTTAATTCATAAGAGGGAACCACAGTGGGTCCTCACAAAATAGCTTCCAGTTTTGGGGTTATTATGCAGTTGGATACGTTTTATTAATCTCAACTTAAGAAGCTGGGCCCGAGTGCTGTTATGCACAAACTGTCATTTTTAAAAAGTATACCGTCTTTCTGTGTTTTGGTGTGTTTTTGGCTGCTAGCCTGTGTGAGTTCCAGAGGAGAACCAAAATGATCAAGGGTCTGGAGATCAAGCCCTATGAGGAGTGGCTTAAGGAGCCAGGCATGTTTAGCCTGAAGAAGGGAAGGCTGAGAGAAGACATGATGACAGCCATGTATAAATACGTGAGAGGACGCCACAGGGAGGAGGGAGCAAGCTTGTTTTCTGCTTCCCTGGAGACTAGGACGCAATGGAAGAATGGCTTCAAGAAAGGAGATTCCATCTGAACATGAGGAAGAACTTCCTGACTGTGAGAGCCATTCAGCAGTGGAACTCTCTGCCCCAGAGTGTGGTGGAGGCTCCTTCTTTGGAAGCTTTAAACAGAGGCTGGATGGTTAAGTGGAGTAAGTCAGAAATGATGCTACTTAATTATACAAGAGAAGAAGAAAAAGATCTTAAAGAACAGAGCAAAGGGGGAATAAGAATCAAGAACAAACTAAAATACTTGGGAGTAATAATAACTAAGGATTTAAAAGAGATAGAGGAAGTAAATGTAGTAACATTAAGGAAAGAAGTCCAGAAAAAGTTAATAGAGTACGAAGGAATACGCTTATCATGGTTTGGAAGAATAGCATTAGTAAAAATGAAAATACTTCCAAAAATAAATTTCATATTTAGGATGCTATCACTTCAAATTACAGAAGAAGAACTAACTAGATGGCAACAAATGATTAATAAGTACTGTAATGGAAGTAAAAGGAACAGACTAAATAAACAATTATGGTATAGATCGCAAAAGGAGGGTGGACTGGCGTTACCCAATATAAAAAAATATTACGAAGCAAGTAGATTAAGTTTGGTTATAGAAGGAATGGTCAAAGAAGAGGGAATAGATTGGCTTAGTAATGATTCAGGAAAAGTGGAAGATGAAACTTGGAATATATTTTTTAAACAGTTTACTAGAAAAGAAATGAGGGAAATTAGAAACCCAATGCTGAGCAATATACTTAAAGTATGGAATAAATATAAGGGGAGGTTAATAAAGGAGGGATCAATTATAACCCCAATAGTGATGGAAAAGAAGTTCCCAAAAAATTTAAAAAAAGCAATGGATAAAAAGGTAAGGGAAATAAATTTAGATAGGATAGGGGATTGGATGAAGGTGGAAATGAAGAGGGAAAGGATGTTGGAAGAGTTTAAAGAAATAAAATTGTCATGGTTTCATTGTATACAATTAGAACAATGGTTAATAAACTGGAAAAAAAATAATAGAAGTGGAAGCCAACTCAATCAATTCGAACAAATAATACAGAAGGGAAGGACTGTAGAAGAACACGAAAACTTGAGAGGTATAATTAGCAAAATTTATAAGATACTAATTGAAATGAAAGATGAAAAAACAAAAAAGTGCACCCTTAAAGAGATTTGGGAAGAGGGTTTAGGGATAAAAATAAGTGAAATAGAGTGGCAACAATTATGGGGACAAAGACATTTAAAAATTTATCGATACGAGTTAAAGAAAATTATTATAAGTTAATATGGAAGTGGTACTTGACACCGGTAAGAATAGCATATATGAATAAAAATAACTCAATAAATTGTTGGAGAGGGTGTCAAGAACCAGGAACATATATACACATGTGGTGGCAATGTAAATATGTAAATAATTTTTGGGAGAAAGTATTTAGAGAAATAGAAACTATAATGAATATAAAATTAGATAAAAGTCCTAGTATAGCATTACTATCACTATATAACGATAAGCAATTGAAAAAGGAGGATAAAGAAGCGATAACAAACTTACTAACTATAGCAAGACTGCTTATAGCAAGGAATTGGAAAAAAGAAATGAATATACAAATAGAGGAGTGGTATAAAGAAGCATGGAAAATAGCAATAAACGATAAATTGACATGTATATTAAAGGTTAAAAAAGGTATATGGAAACAAAGCGATTTTGATGCTGTATGGGGAAGATTTGTGGTAAATGGATTTAAAAATAAGGAAGGAAAATTACCGTCACAAGAAGAAATGAAATTTTGGACAGATGAAATGTAAGAAGGGTGGCTTGAAATGGGTGGAGGGGAGCACTGTGGTGAAAAAAAAAAAATGAGAAAAAGGGGAGAAATGTCAGAGTAAAATAATAAAATAACATGTTAAAGAGGTTGATGTACAAAATGTAATAGTATGTAATAAAGTGATAATCAATAAAAAAATTTATTAAAAAAAAAAACAGAGTCTGGATGGCCATCTGTCAGGTGTGATTTGAATGCAACATTCCTGCTTCTTGGCAGAATGGGGTTGGACTGGATGGCGGCCCAGGAGTAGGTCTCTTCCAACTCTTTGGTTCTATGATACTGCGATTCTAGGAGGCTGGTCTTTGTGTTCTCCATTTCACCCTTTGCGTGAGATGAAGAAATGGCCATTGGACCAACCAGGAAGGTGGGCCCCTAGACCACCTAAACCTGGGAGTCAGCCAGCCCCCAGCCTCTGCTTTCCTCCCTTGACTCTTTCCTTGCCTTCTGTCCAATGGTCAGCTTTGGTCTCTTCCGCTTGCCCTTTGGCCTCCCCCTGGGCGCAGGGCTGGCCTCTCCCTCCCGCTTGCCCACAGAAGAAACCCAAGGCTTCACCACCCATTTCTGAGGCGCGGGGAGAGGAGAACTTTGCCCTGAACTCTTCAGGGCTGGGAGGTTTCTATGTGACCCTGGCCCGTTAATCTTTGTTGTCTCTCGTTAATCTTTAGAGATCTCTTGGCTCCGCCCCCCTCTGATCAGAACCGCTCCTTGAGGAGCACAGCGATAGATTTCTCCTGGGGGGAAATGGAGAGTTTGTGGACCACAAATGGAGAGTTTGTGGACCGCTGTGGAGAAATCTCCCTGCTTCCCTGCTCGGCTCCCTTTATGATTTCCTCCTCAGGTCATCTCCTGTCAAGGCCGGGGCTTCGTTACTCTCATTGCACGGCCCCCATTTCCCCCTGACCTGATTCCCTTTTCTCAGGCGGCATCTACAATGTCAAATTAATGCAGTGTGATACTGCTGTAACCACCACGGCCCAATGGTACGGAATCATGGGAGTTACACTTTGGCAAAGAAGGCTGAAAAGCTTGTCCGCAGTTTGGGAGTCCTCCTGGACGCATCACTGTCGTTTGAGGCTCAGGCGTCGGCAGTGGCCGGGAGGGCCTTTGCACAATTAATTAATTAATTAATTTACTTTGCTTCTATACCGCTGTTCTCAGCCCGAAGGCGACTCGTGCGCCAACTGCGACCGTACCTCGTGAAGGCGGATCTGGCCAGGTTGGTCCATGCCTTAGTCACCTCCAGATTGGATTACTGTAATGCACTCTACGTGGGGCTGCCCTTGAAAACGGCCTGGAAATTTCAATTGGTTCAACGAGTGGTGGCCAGGTTGCTAACTGGTGCTCCTCACAGGGAGTGGTCAACCCACCTGTTCAAGGAGCTCCACTGGCTGCTGTCCATTTTCCGGTCCCAATTCTTACCTACAAAGCCCTGAATGGTTTGGGACCTGCCTACCTGTGTGACCACATCTCTGTATACCAACCCACACAATCTCTTCGATCATCTGGAGAGGCCCTGCTCTCAATCCAACCTGCATCGCAGGTGCGATTGGTGGTGACGAGAGAGAGGGCCTTTTCGGTGGTGGCCCCCCCCCCCAACTCTGGAACTCACTTCCCAAGGACATCAGGCAGGCCCCAACTCTAGCAGTCTTTAGGAGGAGCCTGAAAATGTGGTTGTTCCAGTGTGCCTTCCCAGAATAAGGAATCTCCCAGCATTGTGCCCTCTAAATGCACTTTACACTGATTTAGGATTGTTTGTACGCTCTCACCAACGCCCCATCTCTCCCACCTGATTCGTGCCTGGCATTATTATTAACTTTAATTACATTTGGCCCTGCCATAGATTTTAAATGTGTGTTGTATTACTGTCATTTTTATTGCTTTTCTGTTTATGAGTTTTATTTAATTGTTTTACTGTTGTTGTTATTGCTTGTATTGATGTATTGTGGGCTCGGCCTCCCCGTGTCCCTTGGGGAGATGCTGGTAGCAGGGTATAAATAAAGTATTATTATTATTATTATTATTATTATTATTATTATAAAACGACAACTCTTCTGATTCCATAGGTCTGAGCCACAGCAGTTCAAGGGGTGCCAAACTGCATTACTTTGACAGCGTAGATCAGGCATGGGTAAACTTGGGCCCTCCAGGTGTTTTGGACTTCAACTCCCATAATTCCGGGTTGTGGTGCAGCTGGTTGGGAGTCAGCTGCATTAAAATCACTACTGACTGAAAGGTCTTGAGTTCAAAGCCAGGCTGGGTTGGAGTGAGCTCCCGATCATTTGCCTAGCTTGCTGTCGACCTTTGCAGCCCGAAAGACAGTTGCATCTGTCAAGTAGGAAATTTAGGTACCGCTTTATGTGGGGAGGCTAATTTAACTAATGTATATACTCGAGTATAAGCCGACCCGACTATAAGCCAAGGAACCTAATTTTACAACAAAAAACTGGGAAAACATATTGACTGAAGTATAAGCCGAGGGTGGGAAATGCAGCCACTACTGGTAAATTTCAAAATAAAAATAGATGCCAAAAGCGAGGTGGGCAGGGGAGGCGGTGTCCTTACCTGGGAAGCTGTCCAGTCCTGGGATGGCGGGCACAAAGGGGACGGAGTAGTGCCTGCAGAGAGAAGGAAGGAAGGATGGAAGAAGGCATGCTGGGAACTCACCTTGACAGGGAGGCATTCTCACTAAGCCTTCCCCTGTTTGCCTGGCGCCTTCTCTGGCTCACCTGCAGGCTCACCTTGAGGGAGAGAGGGGGGCTGTGTGCCTGAAGCTGTGCCTGCATGCATTCTTTGCTAGGCTTGATCGATCCCAAAATCAAAAATGGTTCAAAACTCATTTCGGATGTTGGGGGCGCTGGTGGTTTGATCTAAAGTCACTTCCGATTTTTTCCGAAAAAAGTGGGAACTTTCCGAAACTTCTGAAACTTCTGAATGGTTAGAAATGGAAGCCTTTCCAGGATTTGGGTTTTTGTCGTGTGGGCCTTTTCCCTCAGGTTTTTACCTACTTTTTCCTTCTGTCACTAAATGCCTATATTGTAAGGAAATACCGTATTTACGCAAATCGAATGTTCACCTTTTTTGGCTAAATGACTTGACCAAAATTGGGGTTCGCATTCAATTACTTATCCCTAATGAGGTCAGATGTGCCCCTCCTTACCTTCCGGAAGAAACGTAAACCTTGGCTATGGGATCAAGCATTCCCAGAAGAGACCAATTTACTGGTGAAAACAAGACTTGATTTGATGGCAATTGATTGACTTGGCATGATTATTTTAACTTGGTAAACTTTTAAATGTATATTTCCAATTATTTAATGTATTTAATAGGCCTGGGTAACAACGGAAAAATTTGTTTCTAAAATCGATTTGTATTTGGGGGTTTTTTTTGTTTCGATATTTAAAATAATTACAAAATTTTCCTTTTAAAAAGTTCGATATTTACGAAATTTCGTAAATGGTAAAAAATTAACGAATCGATTTCCGAAACAATAATGAATCGATTCGTTAATGGCGGACGCGACCGCGAAATACGCTAAAAAACCTCCAAAACCTTCTGAAGCTTCCCTCTCCCTCTGTTGTTGACTGTTGGTGTGATATTATAATTTTTTTTCACTAATTAAACCATAAAACTTGGCCCAGACATGCGGAAATAATAACGAAACGACCTCAAAACAATAACGAAACGAATACAATATCGAAATACGAAGCATTTACAAAACGTTTTTGAAAATTCGTTTTTTTTTAATAATTGCTCCAGAATGGTTCGTTATCGTTTTGTAATTGAAAAAATTAACGAATTATTAACGAATTACGAATTAACGAAACGAAACCGCCCAGCCCTAGTATTTAACTGTATTTTATTGTGTCAGCACTGAATAGTAGCCTGTTGGAAAATGTCCTGAGTCCCTATTCAGAGGCTGAGAAGGGTGGGGTAGAAATGTTCTAAATACAATTAATTAACCTTTCCTTCCAACCTTTGTACCTCATCCTTCTCAAACCCCCCCCCCCCGGGGGATGGGACTCAGGGCAGCTTACAATGACAACAATTTGATGCCAACACATACAAAAACACAATGCAACATGACATAACAGAGTAGATAAAAACATTAGGTTAAAATCCATTTAAAACGTTATTATCAACCATACTGCCATATCCGAGTCCAGTTCAGCAACCAAGGATCCAGTCCACAGTCTGTTCTAAAACATTGTGATTGCTGTCAAGCCTGTTACCCAAATGCCTGTTTTGAGCTTCTTCTTAAAGGAAAGGTGGGATGGAACTGGCCTAATTGTGCTGGGTAGTGTGTTCCACAAGTGGGGGGGGGGGGGCCACCACCGAGAAGGCCCTGTCTCTCGTCCCCACCAAATGCATTTGCGAAGAAGGTGGGACTGAGAGCAGGGCCTCCTCAGAGGATCTTAAACTCCAAGGTGAGATGTAGAGGGAGATACATTCGGACAAGTAAGCTGGGCCAGAACCGTATATTCACATAATCTTAGTGCTGGGCCAAAGCAAAATAATAATAATAATAATAATACCTTTATTTATACCCTGCCACCATCTCCCCAAGGGACTCAGAGTGGCTTACATGGGGCCAAGCCCAAAAGAAGAATCTGCTTCAGGAATGCTTGCAGCTCCTCTCAGAGGGAGGCCACCTCTCACTTAAGGGCCACGGCTCAATACTCTGGGACCCTGGGATTTGTAGTTTGGTGAGGCATCTGCTCTCTTTGGCAGAGGAGGCCCGTGATGCCATAGCCCCCATGATGCCATAGCATTGATTCGAGGCAATTAAAGAGGAGGCATTCGACAGCAAAGAGACACCCAAAGGTTTTCTTTTCTATTGTGGGAAGCTTTGGCCTTCGGACCCTTCTGTTTTCAAAGGAGAAATGCTAAAACAGTAAGCCCCCCCCCCCGCCTTTTGGCCAAAGGACAAAGAATGCACTTGGCAGCAAACACATTCATTGGTTTCAGGGTTTTGTGAATGGAGGTGCGCCTTAGAGTCGGAAGAGCATGAGACTCGTGCCAATGGGGCTACTCCTGCACTTCTTTCTTTTCTTCTGTGGTATGCTTTGAAGCAATGGTTGCAAACTGGGGAGCAGGGGGGGCTCTCTCCTTTTTAAAGTTCTCTCCTACCTCAAAAAAAAAAAAACCTTGTTCTGCTGCTTATTTAGACTCCTCGAGTTGGAAGAGACCTGTTGGGCCATCATCCAGTCCAACCCCACTCTGCCAAGAAGCAGGACCATCGCATCCAAGAGGCTTGGCGGTCACAGATTCCTCTGGGAACCGTAACAGGTACATCCAAGGGAACCCCCCACGCAGGACTCACCCCGTGCAAACCATGACAGCATCAAAGTGCTCCGTGACCGTGTCCGGCTGCCCCTCGGATGATGCCGGTGGCCCTTGCCAAGAGGCCTTGACTGCCCATCCGCTGGGGCCGCCCTCTCCTTTGGCCAGGGGCTGGACGTCGTCCACCTGCCACTGGAACTGCAGAGAAGAGAAGGAGGAGGAGGAGGAGGAGGAGGGGTCATGAATGACTTTTCAATGACTTTGAAGCATAGGTTCTTTTTATTGCAATGTCAGAGCCCCCGGTGGCGCAGTGGGTTCAACCCCTGTGCTGGCAGGACTGAAGACTGACAGGTCCCAGGTTCGAATCTGGGGAGAGGCGGATGAGCTCCCTCTATCAGCTCCAGCTCCTTATGCGGGGACATGAGAGAAGCCTCCCACAAGGATGATAAAACATCAAATCATCCAGGCATCCCCTGGGCAATGTCCTTGCAGATGGCCAATTCTCTCACACCAGAAGCGACTTGCAGTTTCTCAAGTCTCTCCTGACACGACCAAAAAAAATTGCAATGTCCAGTGTGAGAGGAGACATCAGATTACAGAAAAACATTTAGACAAAAAATGACATTGGACAGACAGACAGACAGATTCTATGCAACTACATTGGATTCACAATTACATTGGTTAACAAACAAACATAGGGGAATGACATTTTCACTCCGCATTCACACACATGTACATGCATCCATCCACATGCATCCAAATATTACCATATCCCTTTCTCCCTCCTTGGAGAAGCACCTCTTAGGCCAGACCCTGCTTCCCTGCAGCCTGCCAACGTATCGTTCCATAACTTCCATAAGGACAAAACTTCAAAACGCTGAAATGCCAAAACTTCTTCCCTAAGAACAATGCCAAGGACAAGATCTGTGTTTTCCCTACAGCAGAGGCTGACTCCCTGCACAAAATCCAAGACTCCAAAAGCGCACTGCTTGAGAAAGAAGCCCCAAAGTGACCAGACTGCTCGCATGAAAATCTGCCACTCTCCATAGGGACACACACTCTCTCCTCCCCATGGAGCAGAGCATGGCGGGTGGAACAGACTCCTCAGGTCTGCCACACTTTGAGCATTGTTAGACTGAGTCTTTTATAGGAATATTCTGCTGATGTCGTCCCAAAGTTGTAAATTAATGATAGATATCTTCTATCCTGGCTCCATCTCAGTTTCCTGGCCAGATGTTGATCATTGGTGTTGATCTTACGTTGACGTTCTTCTTAACATAAGGATTGTTGCAAACATTTCCTTAACTTGAAAGAACCATTCTCACAGTTCTCATTATAGAATCCTAGAATCCTAGAGTTGGAAGACACCTCCTGGACCATCATCCAGACCAACCCCATTCTGCCAAGGAGCAGGAATATTGCATTCCAATCACCCCTGACAGATTTATGTATTTATTTATTTACGGCATTTATATGCCGCTCTTCTCACCCCGAAGGGGACTCAGAGCGGCTTACAATATATATTTTCATACAATATATTATACTATTAGCATAGTACAATATCAGTATATATTACTATATTGCACTATACCATTATATTGTAATATTATTAGTAATATTACATGTAATGTAAATATATAATTATAATTATAATATTGAATTATTATTACTAGTATTATATTGCAATACATTATAATATTATAAATAGTATATGTATATACAATATACTATATTATATTATTAGCCTCTGTTTCAAAGCTTCAACAATAGCAACAACAACAATAACAATAATAATGATAAGGTTGGAAGAGACCCATGCAAGGGCCACCCAATTCGGCTTTCTTCTGCCATGGATGAAAAGCACAATCCAAGTCCTCCCAACAGATGGCCATCCAGCCTCAATGATAATAATAATAATAATAACAACACCAATAGCAACAACAACAACAATAATAATGATAAGGTTGGAAGAGACCCATGCAAGGGCCACCCAATTCGGCTTTCTTCTGCCATGGATGAAAAGCACAATCCAAGTCCTCCCAACAGATGGCCATCCAGCCTCAATGATGATAATAATAATAATAACAACACCAATAGCAACAACAACAACAATAATAATGATAAGGTTGGAAGAGACCCATGCAAGGGCCACCCAATTCGGCTTTCTTCTGCCATGGATGAAAAGCACAATCCAAGTCCTCCCAACAGATGGCCATCCAGCCTCAATGATGATAATAATAATAATAATAACAACAACAACAATAGCAACAACAACAACAACAATAATAATGATAAGGTTGGAAGAGACCACATGGGCCACCCAGTCCGGCTTTCTTCTGCCATGGATGAAAAGCACAATCCAAGTCCTCCCAACAGATGGCCATCCAGCCTCAATGATAATAATAATAATAATAACAACAACAACAATAGCAACAACAACAACAATAATAATGATAAGGTTGGAAGAGACCCATGCAAGGGCCACCCAATTCGGCTTTCTTCTGCCATGGATGAAAAGCACAATCCAAGTCCTCCCAACAGATGGCCATCCAGCCTCAGTGATAACAATAACAACAACAATAATGATAAGGTTGGAAGAGACCACATGGGCCATCCAGTCCAAATCCCTGCCATGGAGAAAAAGCACAATCCAACCCCCCCCCCCCAAACAGATGGCCATCCCTCTGCATAATAATAATAATAATAATAATAATAATAATAATAATAATAATGTGTTGTCTAAGGCTTTCACGGCAAGTATTGCCATGGTGGGCATCCTCAGAGGTCGTGGAAACTAGGCAAGTGGGGTTTATGTCCCTGTGGAATAATGTCCTGGGTGGGAGAAAGTACTCTTGTCTGCCTGAAGCAAGTTTGAATGTGGCCAGATGTGGGCGAAACGTCAGGAGATAATGTTTCTGGAACAAGGACATACAGCCCAGAAAACTCACAGCAAGCCAATAATAATAATAATAATAATAATAATAATAATAATAATAATAATAATAATAATAATAATAATGGAATCATAGACTTGTACGGGACCCTGGGGTGGGGGCATTCAGTCCAACTCCCTTTTGACAAGCAGGAAGATACTGTCGGATCCCTCCCAATCCCTCCTGTTTAAAAGCCTCCAAAGAAGAAGCCTCCACTGGACTCTGAGGCAGTGAGTTCCACTATTGAACAGCTCTTCTGATGGCCAGGATATTCTTCCTCATATTCCGGTGGAATCTCCTTTCTTCCCTGTCGTTTAAGATGATTAAGATGTCAAGAGTCAATTTCTGACGGCATGAAGACATCATAAATTCCCTTTGTGACATCCTGACTGGATCATCCTGGCTGCCTCAGTTTTCTCTCTGTGACATTTTGAAGCCAGCCGAGGGCGCTGGAAACCTTGTATGGGAACTTGTGAAGCAACAAGCTCTAATAAGGAAACTGAGAAGAGGGGGAGATGGGCAGGAAAGGTGTATAAAAGGAAGTGGTGGTGGGAAAGTCAGTAGTGTCTTTCTTTGCTGCAGAGATACAAGCAATATATTCATTTCCAAGCAAAACCGGCTTGTGAGTGATCATTTAATATTGCTATATAAAACCTACAGTCTTACATATGTTGATGTTTATTTACACCCTTCAAGGGGGCTCAAAGCGGACCCTGGGCCTGCCCTCCCCTCTCCATCGCCCTCCCTCCATCTCCCAGGGCCCCCCTCCCCTTCTGACCCGGATGTGTTCCCGGATGTGGAAGGTCTCTGCGTAGCGCTGCAGGTAGTCCAGGACGGCGGAGTGGTGCAAGAAGGAAGGCAGGGAGGGTTCAAAGGGGAAGTCCGGGAAGGCCATCACCTCCTTGGGCAGGTTGGTCCTGCGGAGAGAGAGAAGCACCCATCACCCACAGCAACAAAGGACCCCCCCCCCACCCCCCCTCACCCTTAAACACAGCATAAACATGCAACTGCTTTATGTAAACAGTACATTCCATGCGACATTGCCAGAACTGGGTACTACTAATGACTCAGGCAGGAATACAAAATCAAACCTTTGGTGCACACAAACCCTGAAGTCGAGCATGCCCCTCCCCCTTAACAAGGGATGGTGACTTATAGTTCTGCAAAGGTACCAGACTGCACAATAGGGGTTAAGTCTTGGTCAATTTGCCAAGGCCTTAACAACAATGAGGACCCCATGAAACTTCGGGAATAGCTAGACCCTGGGGTCTCTGCCTCTCTCTCGAGAGCTGTAGTTTTCCAAGGACCATGGGAAAAGAAGGAAATGGATAAAAGAAGGAAATTCTTATCTCTAGCATCGGAAATGGCCCACTAGAGTAAAGAATTGTTTGACAAAAGTTTCTGTAAGATAAGGGGAAACCTCCCCCTCTGCTTTTGTTTACTTAGCAGTAACTACTACACAATATCCCAGAGTACTTGTAAGATATCAGTACAAACACAAAACAATCTATGCGTAATGTCAAAGTGTATTATCAAGAAAACATATAATATTCTATTTACCAAAATCCCCAGTACAAAGCTCAATTCAGTGGTACACAGAAATCAAAAGGAGCAACCGCTCTCAAACGTAACCGTTCTGGGTTTGGATAGGGATTCCACTGTGTATAGGCTTCAGGGATACATTCAATGCAAAAAGTCATATAAACAAAGTAAGTACAGAGTCATGAGGCTATATGTAAGCTGAAGACAACAGTGGGACTCAGTGCCTCAGAGTCCAGTGGAGGCTTCTTCTTTGGAGGCTTTTAAACAGGAGGGATTGGGGGGGATCCAATTGTATCTTCCTGCTTGTCCAAAGGGAGTTGGACTGAATGCCCCCACCCTGGGGTCCCGTACAATATTATTATTATCATTATCATTATCATTATTATCATTATCATTGGGTTGCTGTGAGTTTTCTGGGCTGTATGGCCTTGTTCTAGAAACATTCACCGGGGGCGGGAGGGCCGCCTCCCAGCTGTTTGCCCATTGCGCAATCATGGCAGGGAAGAACAGGGAAGCCGGGGCAGGGAGTTTGAACTCTGCAACTTTGAATTTCCTATAAATATGACTGTATTGGTGTACTCCCCTCATGCTTAGCTTGGCGAATGATTGCAGCTTTGCATCCGTTTCAGCTGAATCGCATTAAACCTCAATGGCTTTTCTTCAACTGGTGAGACTTTTCATTGGGAAATCAGGGAAAAATATGGGATGCTTCTTTGTCTCGCCAGGGAAAAAGAACTCTTTGATGAGTCTAATTGGTCTCTGCCTCCTGGCAAAGACCCCTAAATTTTATCTCTACATCAACCCTATTTGTCCAAAGGACCCCCGCCCGTGGCACTTTGTGCTGCCTTCATCCCATTGAGGGGGAAGGGCCAAGCTGGGCACAATGGAGCCATGGACTCAAATAGCCGGAGACATATTAGGAAGCCCTTCTGACATAGGAAAGCCTCAACAGAGATCCTCCAGGTCAGTCGTATGTCGGATGGGGGTCTAGGGTGGCAACCTGTGCTTGATGGGTCGCACTCCCCCTGAAGACACAGGTCCGCAGCTTGGGGGTCCTCCTGGATTCAGCGTTGGTGCTTGATGCCCAGGTGCCGGCGGTGGCCAGGAGGGCCTTCCTTCACACCATCAAAACTCATGCGCCACCTGTGACCGTACCTCATGAAATCTGATCTGCTATGGGGGTCCTTGCCTTAGTTACCTCTAGACTGAAATTTTGCAATGCACGCTATGTGGAGCTGCCCTTGAAGATGGTCTGGAAACTTCAAGTGGTCCAACGACCGGCAGCCAGACTGCTAATGGGAGCAAATTACAGGGAGCGGTCTACCACCCCCCCCCACCCCCAATTTAAGGAGCTCCATTGGCTGCCAAGTAACATCATCAATACATACAGAGTAAACAACACAAACATAAGATTAATAAAACAATATAAGCATAAAAATTGTCGCCATAACATACATATATATTAAAAGTTCTCTCTCCTTTTGCTCCTATTTGAGAGAAAGGCTGGGCCCTGACCCTGACCTCATGGCCTTGGACCCTCGTGCTCCCCTCTTCTTCCCTGGAGACCCCTGAAACAGGGGGAGGTCCCCCCCCCCTTTGGCACTCACACAATCTGTGTGTGTGAGAGTGAGAGAGAGAGACCCACCTGAGGTCCTGGTACATGCTGGAGTGGACGGGCCGGCCCTCCTGGCCTGTCTCCTCAGTGTAGACCCAGGTGCCCCCCACCTGGGCAGAGGCCTCAAAGACCACCGGAGGGGCAAAGGTCGCCGGAGAGGCCAGCAAGTGCCGGGCCGCGCACAGGCCGCAGGCCCCTGCCCCAATGACCGCCACGCGCAGCTTGCCCGGCACCATCCTGAGGAGGAGGAGGAAGAAGAAAGAGGGGGGGGGGCCAGAGGAGGGGGACTAAAATGATCAAGGGTCTGGAGAACAAGCCCTATGAGGAGCGGCTTAAGGAGCTGGGCATGTTTAGCCTGAAGGAGAGAAGGCTGAGAGGAGGCATGATAGCCATGAATAAATATGAGAAGGGAATATGTCATAGGGAGGGTGACTAAATGATCAAGGGTCTGGAGAACAAGCCCTATGAGGAGCGGCTTAAGGAGCTGGGCATGTTTAGCCTGAAGAAGAGAAGGCTGAGAGGAGATATGATAGCCATGTATAAATATGTGAGAGGAAGCCACAGGGAGGAGGAGGGAGCAAGCTTCTTTCTGCTTCCCTGGAGACTAGGACGCAATGGAACAATGGCTTCAAACTACAAGAGAGGAGATTCCATCTGAACATGAGGAAGAACTTCCTGACTGTGAGAGCCGTTCAGCAGTGGAACTCTCTGCCCCGGAGTGTGGTGGAGGCTCCTTCTTTGGAAGCTTTTAAACAGAGGCTGGATGGCCATCTGTCAGGGGTGCTTTGAATGCAATATTCCTGCTTCTTGGCAGAAAGGGGTTGGACTGGATGATGGCCCAGGAGGTCTCTTCCAACTCTTTGATTCTATGATTTGTTATTATTTTTATTATTATTATTGTATTGTCGAAGGCTTTCATGGCTGGAATCACTAGGTTCTTGTGGGTTTTTTTGGCTATAGAGCCATGTTCTAGAGGCATTTCTTGACTTTTCATAGATGCAGGCGAAACGTCAGGAGAAATGCCTCTAGAACATGGCCCTATAGCCAGAAAAAACCTACAAGAACCTATTATTATTATTATTATTATTATTATTATTATTATTATTATTAAACAGAGGCTGGATGGCCATCTGTCAGGGGTGCTTTGAATGCAATATTCCTGCTTCTTGGCAGAATGGGGCTGGACTGGATGATGGCCCAGGAGGTCTCTTCCCACTCTAGGATTCTATTGTTGTTGTTGTTGTTGTTGTTGTTGTTATTAAGCAGAGGCTGGATGGCCATCTGTCAGGGGTGCTTTGAATGGAACACTTTCATAGAATCATAGAATCATAGAATCATAGAGTTGGAAGAGACCTCCTGGGCCATCCAGTCCAACCCCATTCTGCCATGAAGCAGGAATATTGCATTCAAAGCACCCCTGACAGATGGCCATCCAGCCTCTGTTTAAAAGCTTCCAAAGAAGGAGCCTCCACCACACTCCGGGGCAGAGAGTTCCACTGCTGAACGGCTCTCACAGTCAAGAAGTTCTGACTGTATTCCTGCTTCTTGGCAGAATGGGGTTGGACTGGATGATGGCCCAGGAGGTCTCTTCCCACTCTTGGATTGTATTATTGTTGTTGTTGTTGTTGTTAAGCAGAGGCTGGATGGCCATCTGTCAGGGGTGCTTTGAATGCAATATTCCTGCTTCTTGGCAGGATGGGGTTGGACTGGATGATGGCCCAGGAGGTCTCTTCCAACTCTAGGATTCTCGGATTCAGTGCAGGGCCAACCTTGGCCCTCCCTCCAAGTGTTTTGGACTCCAACTCCCACCATTCCTAATCAATTGGCTGGTAGGAGTGGTGGGAGTGGAAGTCCCAAAAGGCTGGATGGCCATCTGTCAGGGGTGCTTTGAATGCAATATTCCTGCTTCTTGGCAGGATGGGGTTGGACTGGATGAGGGCCCAGGAGGTCTCTCCCAACTCTAGGATTCTATTATTATTGTGATTGTGATTGTTATTGTTATTAAGCAGAGGCTGGATGGCCATCTGTCAGGGGTGCTTTGAATGCAATATTCCTGCTTCTTGGCAGAATGGGGTTGGACTGGATGAAGGCCCATGAGGTCTCTTCCAACTCTAGGATTCTATTAGTCTATTATTCGCTAAGCTTTTAAACAGAGCCTGGATGGCCATCTGTTGGGGGTGCTTTGAATGCAATATTCCTGCTTCTTGGCAGAATGGGGTTGGACTGGATGGCCCAGGAGGTCTCATCCAACTCCATGATTCTATGATTCTATGGTTGTGAGTTTCTTTGGAGGCTTTTAAACAGAGGCTGGATGGCCATCTGTCGGGGGTGATTTGAATGCAATATTCCTGCTTCTTGGCAGAATGGGGTTGGACTGGATGGCCCAGGAGGTCTCTTCCAACTCTTGGATTGTATTATTGTTGTTGTTGTTGTTGTTAAGCAGAGGCTGGATGGCCATCTGTCAGGGGTGCTTTGAATGCAATATTCCTGCTTCTTGGCAGAATGGGGTTGGACTAGATGAGGGCCCAGGAGGTCTCTCCCAACTCTAGGATTCTATTATTATTGTGATTGTGATTGTGATTGTTATTAAGCAGAGGCTGGATGGCCATCTGTCAGGGGTGCTTTGAATGCAATATTCCTGCTTCTTGGCAGAATGGGGTTGGACTGGATGAGGGCCCAGGAGGTCTCTCCCAACTCTAGGATTCTATTATTATTGTGATTGTGTTGGAAGCGTTTAAGCAGAGGCTGGATGGCCATCTGTCAGGGGTGCTTTGAATGCAATATTCCTGCTTCTTGGCAGAATGGGGTTGGACTGGATGATGGCCCAGGAGGTCTCTTCCAACTCTTGGATTGTATTATTGTTGTTGTTGTTGTTGTTAAGCAGAGGCTGGATGGCCATCTGTCAGGGGTGCTTTGAATGCAATATTCCTGCTTCTTGGCAGAATGGGGTTGGACTGGATGATGGCCCAGGAGGTCTCTTCCCACTCTTGGATTGTATTATTGTTGTTGTTGTTGTTGTTAAGCAGAGGCTGGATGGCCATCTGTCAGGGGTGCTTTGAATGCAATATTCCTGCTTCTTGGCAGAATGGGGTTGGACTGGATGATGGCCCAGGAGGTCTCTTCCCACTCTTGGATTCTATTATTATTAATGCTTTTAAGCAGAGGCTGGATGGCCATCTGTCAGGGGTGCTTTGAATGCAATATTCCTGCTTCTTGGCAGGATGGGGTTGGACTGGATGATGGCCCAGGAGGTCTCTTCCAACTCTAGGATTCTTGGATTCAGTGCAGGGCCAACCTTGGCCCTCCCTCCAAGTGTTTTGGACTCCAACTCCCACCATTCCTAATCAATTGGCTGGTAGGAGTGGTGGGAGTGGAAGTCCCAAAAGGCTGGATGGCCATCTGTCAGGGGTGCTTTGAATGCAATATTCCTGCTTCTTGGCAGAATGGGGTTGGACTGGATGATGGCCCAGGAGGTCTCTTCCCACTCTTGGATTGTATTATTGTTGTTGTTGTTGTTGTTAAGCAGAGGCTGGATGGCCATCTGTCAGGGGTGCTTTGAATGCAATATTCCTGCTTCTTGGCAGAATGGGGTTGGACTGGATGATGGCCCAGGAGGTCTCTTCCCACTCTTGGATTGTATTATTGTTGTTGTTGTTGTTGTTAAGCAGAGGCTGGATGGCCATCTGTCAGGGGTGCTTTGAATGCAATATTCCTGCTTCTTGGCAGAATGGGGTTGGACTGGATGATGGCCCAGGAGGTCTCACTCTGTGTGGTGGAGGCTCCTTCTTTGGAAGCTTTTAAGCAGAGGCTGGATGGCCATCTGTCAGGGGTGCTTTGAATGCAATATTCCTGCTTCTTGGCAGGATGGGGTTGGACTGGATGATGGCCCAGGAGGTCTCTTCCAACTCTAGGATTCTCGGATTCAGTGCAGGGCCAACCTTGGCCCTCCCTCCAAGTGTTTTGGACTCCAACTCCCACCATTCCTAATCAATTGGCTGGTAGGAGTGGTGGGAGTGGAAGTCCCAAAAGGCTGGATGGCCATCTGTCAGGGGTGCTTTGAATGCAATATTCCTGCTTCTTGGCAGAATGGGGTTGGACTGGATGATGGCCCAGGAGGTCTCTTCCCACTCTAGGATTCTATTTCAGAGGCTGGATGGCCATCTGTCAGGGGTGCTTTGAATGCAATATTCCTGCTTCTTGGCAGAATGGGGTTGGACTGGAGGATGGCCCAGGAGGTCTCTTCCCACTCTAGGATGGAGGCTCCTTCTTTAGAAGCTTTTAAACAGAGGCTGGATGGCCATCTGTCAGGGGTGCTTTGAATGCAATATTCCTGCTTCTTGGCAGAATGGGGGTTGGACTGGATGATGGCCCAGGAGGTCTCTTCCAACTCTTGGATTGTATTATTGTTGTTGTTGTTGTTGTTAAGCAGAGGCTGGATGGCCATCTGTCAGGGGTGCTTTGAATGCAATATTCCTGCTTCTTGGCAGAATGGGGTTGGACTGGATGATGGCCCAGGAGGTCTCTTCCCACTCTTGGATTGTATTATTGTTGTTGTTGTTGTTGTTAAGCAGAGGCTGGATGGCCATCTGTCAGGGGTGCTTTGAATGCAATATTCCTGCTTCTTGGCAGAATGGGGTTGGACTGGATGATGGCCCAGGAGGTCTCTTCCCACTCTTGGATTGTATTATTGTTGTTGTTGTTGTTGTTAAGCAGAGGCTGGATGGCCATCTGTCAGGGGTGCTTTGAATGCAATATTCCTGCTTCTTGGCAGAATGGGGTTGGACTGGATGATGGCCCAGGAGGTCTCTTCCCACTCTTGGATTGTATTATTGTTGTTGTTGTTGTTGTTAAGCAGAGGCTGGATGGCCATCTGTCAGGGGTGCTTTGAATGCAATATTCCTGCTTCTTGGCAGAATGGGGGTGGACTGGATGATGGCCCAGGAGGTCTCTTCCCACTCTTGGATTGTATTTTTTTTAACAGAGGCTGGATGGCCATCTGTCAGGGGTGCTTTGAATGCAATATTCCTGCTTCTTGGCAGAGGGTTGGACTGGATGGCCCATGATGGTCCCTTCATGTAGTATGTGGTGGAGGCTCCTTCTTTGGAAGCTTTTAAGCAGAGGCTGGATGGCCATCTGTCAGGGGTGATTTGAATGCAATATTCCTGCTTCTTGGCAGAATGGGGTTGGACTGGATGGCGGCCCAGGAGGTCTCTTCCAACTCTTGGATTCTATGAAA